TTCTCTTAGAAAGGGGTTGCATATTACCTGAATTTGAGGAACATTTGTTTACACACATGTGAAAGATACACTTTATGGTCAAAATGTCTACAATACACCTTATATGTAAACAACAGGAAACACTATAAAATGAATTGCAACCCTTATATCTGATAATAGAGCTCCAGTCCGGAGGGACAAGACTGACTTCGGGGAATACTAATGGGAAAAAAGGAGCCGTCACAAGCACAGTGGAATCGAAAAGGGCGCTCAAGGGGTGCAGACCACACCAGGTGTGAGAGGTCTGAGAGGCTGACACTAAAATGACTGTCCATAAAATTTTTGTGCAATGTTTCAGCAGAAATTTATTATTTCTTTAGAAAAATACCCCTGTATTTAGTTATGACAACAAAAATATTTTTCATAAACCCAGCTTACATGTATCAATATACCTTTAAGGCTAAAATTTTTTGCTAGTTTAATTTTTGAACCTTATAATGCACTCCTGTCAGAGCTGTCATTATTACCTAATTACAATAACACTTGCAATCCCGTGATTTTACATGCTGCACTCATGCTGCTGTTTTGGTTGCTGCCAGTGTTTTTATAGTTGCTGATTTTGTCAGGTTTTCTGGTGTTTTTGCTACAATATTGTAGTAATTAGTATTTGTGACTCTATATCAATAATCTTTTTTTGTGTGAATGAAGTGGTAATGAAAGGAAAAGAAGGAGAAAACACAGAAAATACTTCTTCTATTCAGTTACTAATAATGTTCTATATACTAATGTAATTCAATGTAGAAACCTTTTACAGAACTATTTTGTTGTCAGTGTTTATGTTATCTAAGAAATATTATATTTAATCAACTTATAACTATATTTATTACATATTCTATGAAGAAAGTTGATAATAAAATTACTAAGAATTGTGTATGATCTGTTAAGGGAAGAAGTCTGTAGGGGTTGAGTGACACCAAGAGTTATTACACTGGGTATCTTAGTTCTTTATTGCTGATATAACAGGAATACCACAAGTGGACGGCTTTAACAAACAGGAATTTATTCTTGTGTAGCTTGTTGTTGTTGTTGTTGTTATGTGCCGTCGAGTCAGCCCTGACTCATAGTGACCCCTCCTTGAGTTTCCGAGGCAGTATCACTATGGAAGTAGGATTGCCCAATCTTCCTTCTGAGTTTAGCAGGCTAGAAATCTGAATTCAGAGTGCTGGCTCTTAACCCCTTGACCTTGGGTTTCAGCTCTGCCTCTTGTTCCAGGCCTACTGAAGCTGGAGGTGTCTCTTAGCTCATGCAGCTGCTGGCTGCTGAAACTGATGAACCCAAGGTTGGCAAGTAAAATGGCACAATCCTAAGATAAGCAGGCAACACTGCAGGCTATTGGTTCATCCAGGAGCTGGAGATGAA